TGCAGCTTTTTGCTACGTGTGTGCGAAGCGAACCAGGTCCTTTGCTTGAAGGAGAGCAAGAAGCTTCTCGATTACTTGGCACAAGAATTCGGCAAGGATGGTGGAAGTCTGCAGTGTCAGGTACAGTCGAGCGTTTTTAGCCGCCAAAGTGTCCCGCGAGTCGCTATCTCGTTTGTTAGAAATCCGACCTCTCAGAGGACTCTACTGCTTGGCAGCGGCTGCGGCAGCGATGCCTGGAGTTTTTCCCCTTGATGGCCGCGGTCTTGGTCAATGTCCGGCCATTTTAGGAGCGGCACTGTCATTCTGTCCGGAGGTCATTCCGTCTGACTGATTCGGGCAAGTTTTGCAGCTAACTCCAAGTAGCCTGCTCGCGCGGAATGTAGCTGCAAGCCAAGCCTGACTTGACTGCATGGTTTGTTATTCAGAAGCATGGCAGCCCAGATTTCAAGGGACTCGAATGAGTATCGCGTCTAGACGCCTGATGCTACAACATCGTTGAAACTTACATTGCACTAGAGCGAGCTTTGTGAGCCATGAGTGATGGACGCTCTGAGCTTCAATAGCTCAAAACAAACGTCGTGCAGTGCTGCAAATCTAGTGGCCTGCATGTGGTCTGCATGTGGCACGTGTTCTGCATGGAGCATCCCGCGGCCGTCCAGGGCTCATTGCCCGAGCATGATGACAGGCAGCGGAGACTCAAGTTTGCATTACGTTCACGAGCACAGCTACCAGCATAAGTTCTTTCTGTAGTTGCAAGGGTCATCAACATCCATTCTTTTGCCTGCGTCGTGAACAATGGCTTCCTCCAGTCCGGTCCGCTGCGAGCTCGAACGCAATGAGCTCTACTCGCAGCTTGCAGCCTCGATGATCAAAGAGTCCATCTCGCGGACAACCGGTAAAGGAGCCAACATGGCTGAGAGGCAGCGCCGGCTGGAGCGAGAGCTTCAGATCTTGGGCCAATTAAGCGAGCAAGGGTGTGTCGCCGAGCAAGGTTCGAAAGAGTCTGCCCAAGTCCTTGGCGAACTTTGGGATCATGTCGAGGATGAGTTGGTATCTTGTTTTGCAGCGCAGGCTGAAACCCTGCCCCGCCTGTCGGTCGTCCCACCAGGGGAGGTGGTGCAGCTAGTTGATGACACCGCTGAACTTGAGGAGGAATTGCTGAGACTGCGTTCACAGCCTTTCTGGAAGCGATCTCTCGCTGTACCTCCGTTTCCTTCGAAGCCTGTCAGTTTGGAATCGAATGCTCCTGCCTTTAAGAAGATATCGGTCGTGGAGGCATGTGAAGCACGTGCTGCGGCTCCACCTTGTAACCCAGTCACATTCCCGAACCCTGGACAAAGCCACGCTCGCAACGAGTCCCGGGAGGGTGACGTTGGTGTTGAGGTTGCGGCTAGAGCTGGAAATGTGAGTAGCTTTCGGAGTGCAGCGGACCTCTTTCCGGAGGCGGCCAACAAAAGCCAGCCACACCCTGGCACACTAAAAAAGCAGCAGGAGTTTGACGAAGTCAGCCAGTCAATCCTGAAGCGAGATTCCAAAAGCCGTGCTCCGAAGCGTGTTGCAGATGGTAGTGACAAGCCTCAGCGTGAGTGGAGCGACGCCTGGCTGCGTATCGCAGATGCAGACCAGCTCGAAAGACTTGTGCCCGCATTAGAGGTGCCCAGCTGACCAAGATCCCCTTAGGACTCTCGCGGGCATTGTTTGAGCCACCAAGCACATAGTGTAAGACATTCATCGGATCCAGAAGCATTTGAAGTCTTTGACTTTTCAAACCCCTGGAGGCAACGATCCACCGCACGGATGCTGATGCCGTGCAGAAGGAGGACATTGCTGGATTGAGCTTCGTCAAGGCACAGATCGAAGAGGTCTTGATACTGCCACGTTTGCATCCCGAGCTCTTCCTGTCGGCATTAACAAAACCAGCGCGTGGCTTGCTATTGTTTGGACCACCTGGTACAGGCAAAACACTGCTTGCCAAGTGGATAGCTGCAGAGTGTGGAGCAACATTTTTCAACATAAATGCTTCGTCTGTCATGTCCAAGTGGATCGGAGAGGCAGAGAAGACGGTGAAGGCTCTGTTTCAGTTGGCCGCAGATAGGCAGCCATCCGTAATATTTTTGGATGAAATCGATTCCTTGCTAAGCCAGCGTCGTGATGCCGACAACGAGGCATCGCGAAGGGTGAAGAACGAGTTCCTAACTTCTTTGGAGGGTGCCGAGACCGCAGCTGACGAGAAGATTCTCTGCGTTGGCGCAACAAACATGCCTTGGGACTTGGATCATGCTGTTCTACGCAGGCTGCCGAAGCGCCTTTATGTGCCCCTGCCTGGCAGAAGAGCCCGGAGATCCCTCTTGGTGGCTCAGCTGGCAAAGCACAACTCCAAAGTCGGCCTTCAGGGAGACATGAGTGCCTCCGACATCGACTACATTGTTGAGCATACCGAAGGCCAGGCAGCTAAAGCGAGTTGTGAATTCTTAAGAAGTGCAGCGAGTCTCGTTCCACTTCCCTGCAGGATTTTCCTGCTCGGACTTACAGCAGCTGCTGTGTGAAGCGGCTATGGGTCCGGTGCGTGAAGTCGCTGCTGCGCGCCTCCGACAGAGTGGGGACTCCACGGCAGCTTTGCTTAAGCTCGAGCATTCCAGTCTTGTGGTTAAGCACTTGCATGTACACCGCGAAACAGCTCCAACAGCGCAAAATCGTGGTTCGAAACTAGGTGTATCTCCGATTCGAGCACCGTGATCCAAGCACCGCCCGATTCAAGTCCGCAAGTCGAGCACATGCGGTTCAAGAACTCGATTCGTACGCAGAACTGCAGGGTTTCGCAGTTGTGGGTTCAAGCCCTAAGGTCTCAGAGCGTGGGGTGTCGAAAAATGGTTTCGAGGGTGAGGCCTCGACTTTTGTTGGGTTTATCAACAGGCAAGGAGAGCCGAGTCTTTAGGCTTTGAAAGTTTAGGGTTTAGGCCTTTCGGGTTTTACAGTTTGGGGTTGTAGGGTTTAGGTTTTTAAGTAAGGCTTTATTGGGCTTTAAGACTTGGACGTTGGAGTATCAACAGTCAAGAAGTCTAGGAGTCTAGGGCCTAGGATTTGCAGTGCAGGGTTTTCTGTTAGTTCGTTTCGAGCCTGATGCGGTGTGCGAATTCTGCACGCTAGTGCGGGAATCCCGCGTGCACGAATCCTCTTCCCAGTACTAGAATCCGCCATGAGCGAATCTATGCGAACAGGTTGTCTCCAGTGTGCCAATCGCTCGTCCTACCACTCCAACAGAGAAGCTTTGCTCGCTTGTGTAAGTTTCGAAGCTACAAGGCGCACAGAGGACCGCGAGATATTGCAAGACATGATTTCGATTGTGCCTCAGCAGCAAGTATTGCTTCCTTATTTGTGAAGGTCGTGATCACATGTTGGGTCGTTAAGCGGGACTTTGGGGTTGCCGCAACAAAGTGACAACGCGCCACAGATGGAAGTGCCGTGTGGCCAGGTGCCCTGCGAAGAGTGAAGCCCACCCACAATGCGGAGCAAGGGCTAAGACACCGGGCCTTCAATGATGAGCATGGTACTTGCCGAGTCTTGGTTCAATTCTTCTTTACAGATTCTTCGGGAGGCCTTCAGCCGATTTCGCTAGTGATGACTGCAGCCTCAGGTGGCGAGGATGCCATGCAGGATACTGAGGGAGATGACTAGCGATTGTTTGCTGCGATGCAGCCTCGGATGCCAAAGAGCACGCCACCTTTGCCTTGTGAACAGGGGATTCTTGGCATGGCATCGCATCTGGGCTGGGCCTGCTAGTTCAAGCACCGGCCAACGATAATTGTTATACTGCTGCATGTTTAGAGGGTTGTAGTTTCGCTGCAGTATTGGGGTCGCGGACGTTCGGTGAAGGGGCTCGCTGACGCAGAAAAATGAAGGGGCTGTCCGTCACGACAAGGATCAGGTGGCTGGAGCAAGCAGCCGGCATGCTAAAAGCGCCTACCTCAAGCGAGCGTGCTTTAGCAGAAGATCAGATTACATTGCCTCCTGTCCATTAGAATAGAACGGGTTCGATTTCGAGGCACGATCATCGATTGTCTTTGCAGCAGAAATTGTGGAACTTTGGAGGCGATGTTCAGCATGATGGTGCTTGGCTTCTGCACCGGCACGAAGCTCAGCTCTGCTCGCTTCTGCAGTGCCGCGTTTAATGGTGGGCATGGAAAACTTGCAGGTGTTTGCGTTGGCACCTACCAGGACTCGCTTGGAGCTGCTGGGCTTGACTTGCAGCCGGGGCGCAGCTGCTAGGATGCCAGCATCAAGCCGCTCTATGACATGATGTTTTCCAAATCGGCGCAGATTTGGCAGGCATGAGGGATTTGCTTCAAAGTGCGGTCGTTGTGTACACACTGTTCCAGGAGAAGGTGTTGGGAAAGTCTGGTTGAGCTTTGCGCCGATGGCTTCGGGCTGATCGTGCTTGCTGATGCTTGAGCGGTTGGCTGGGACTTGCTAACACCAGCAGAACGACTTGTGCCGGTTTGAGTGTCTTACCGGCCACGCGCTCAAGCCGTGTACGCTACATTCTGCCACACATTGCTTCTTCAATTCGTTTGCATACTTCGTTCCCTTCATCCTAACGGTATGGGTCTTCGTAGACATGTTGGACTCGTTGCCAGACGAAGTATGCTCGCCGCCTATAGAGCCTCCGTGCAGGGCGAGGCTCTTGAGCCGAAGACCTGACAGATGGCAGATGGAGCCTTAGGGAGCCCGGCTCACGACTGCATGGGCTCGGCGCACCGTTCCCGGCGGCACAAACAAGTGGATTGCACAGATAATTTGCAGCTTTTGGGTAAAACCTTCGTTTAGGAGCCAGACATAGTTTCCGGCGGTGTCGCAGAACTGTATTGGCTCAGACATGTAGAGGTCCACAGAGTGCAGGTTCTCTGACAGCGTCGGGTGCAGGGCGCAGGCGAAGCCTGCGTCTTCCGACGCAGGCACTCCCAGAGCGGCACAGAGCGGACTACACTTTTCCGGAGGCTCCGATGACCAACCCATCGGGGCTGGCGCCACAGGCTGTTGCGTCCTGAGACGATGTGCGAGTCTTCGCCGATGGACACCACTGGCAATCTGCGTTCTTGAGCTTGTGATGCACCTTCATTTCTCAGATCTGCGTGAATACAGTCGCGCCGCAACGGTCTCGGTTGTGCCAGACCATTGCTTCGATTCTGGCAGTTTTTTGAGGCAAAAGACTTGCTGTGATTCACAGTTCTGTCCAAGGCTTTTTCCCAGAGGGAAAGATCATCAGCAAACAGATTCGGGCTGAGTCTACTTCTGTCGCAAGGACTGTGTGCAGTTTCGACTTCAAATTGTGGCAGAGCCTTGTCCAACTTTTGAGGCCGGTGAGTGGCATGATGTGAGGGGCGGTGGCCGTCTTGTTCGCGATGTCCAGGAGCAGTGTTCCAACAGTCCCATTCGGGAGTGGGGCGCGTCCCGCCATTGTAGGTCTACCCGCGACACATCCGCGAGACCGAGACCCATCAGCACATGCACAGGCGCTTTGTGGTGTGCTCCAGCTTGAACGCCCGGACCCTTGTTGTGTTGCAGGACTGCGGCCGTGAAGCACCATTTACGCAAGATGGCCGACAGACATGAGATGCTGAGCACCTACGAGCACGACTTCGGCACGCCTGTCACGCTTCTGCAGGAACGTGAACGGCGGTGAACGGGAAGGATGGTTGTCATTGCAGGCTTTATGACGCGGCCGAAGCCCAGAGATTTCTCGGAGGTGCCAGCCCGAACACAAAGGCAGGTAATGGCGGTAGCAGTGTCGCCCTGTGGCAACGGCGCTGGCACTTGTGACTTTTGTGAGCTTTCAGGAACCTCTCGGAGCCACCTTCTCGTGCAAGCTCTGCCCGTCTGGACCCCGGACAGTGAAGCAAGAACTCGTTAGGACTTCCAGAAGCCTGCAAGTGAAGAAAGTTGTTCATCTGGTCTGTGGTAGGCTCGCAAGCGGGATGGACTGGTCCAAGCCTCGGAAAATGCACGTGGTAGCCTTCGATAGCCTCTGTTCGTCAGTGTCTCAAGGTGAGTACGGGATTGATTCGACGACTCATCCGCCGATGTCTGAACGTCTTGTGCAGTCACAGCGAGCTGTTCTTCCTCGTGTCATTACTTTGGCATTCAGGCAGTTCGCCAAGACAGAATCGAAGCTACAGGTGCCACGTGCGAAGCATGGGACACGAATGGAGCTGCCGCATGTCCTTCAGCTGTCCCCTGCCAAGGGGTTCCAACAGAGCTCAGCTCCGCTGCGTCTTTCTGTTGCGGGTTGGGGCGATTGCCGCTGGAGCCCAAAGACAGCTTTCCTGGCATATTTCAGCATCCAGCATGGTCGTACTGTACATTTTGCTGTCCGTCTCGACCTGCGCCAGCATCCCAATATGATCATGGGCATGACGCAGAAACGGATCACTCTCCAGCAGACCACCAACATCATGAATCTCAGGCTTCGTCCAGTCCGTTCTGCTGACAATGCACGGACATGTTTAGGAAATTGTGCATTCTGTCTCAAACATGCAGGGCGCCCGATCTGCCTTTCGTGAGTCGCTGAGCAACTGTCGAGATTGTGTGGGCAGCTACTAGATGGGTCTCTGACATAGATTGGTAGAGGTCTGCAGAATTTCGAGGCTCAGCCTTTTTTCACGACTAGGACCGTGTTAATGAACCAAAGCACTGAAGCTGGCGTTTGCTTCAGTGCATATGCAGTCCAGGAAAGCTTTCTTTCCTTCAGGCGCATCTGCGCATGTTTGCACATTGCCACTGCCCTGCGAAAGCTCAGGGCTTTTTCTGTGGCGCATCATGACCCAAGTCGCTACTCATACTCTTGCGATTTCACTTGCGTCCTGGTACAACTACAGTGACTAGAGCCTTTTCTGCTTTGCGTCAGTCTGAATCTTGAAGTGTTTCTGAATGTTTGCGATTTGCAGCATAGCATAACTGCCCTGGTCGTCAACCTCGCCGTAGTGTGCGGTGCAGATCAGTGCAGCAAGTTGTTTCACTGCCTCTCGTCGCTGAGGCCGCGTACCGTAAGTTCCAAAGCTGGGAAGCAAGTGTGCTCTGCCCACAATGTGGGCCATTCGAGGGCTTGTTCGGAGTGTTTGTTTAGGTTGAATCTTAGCAGTGTTCAGTTTTCAGCAATGAAGCAGCTTGCTTCAGTCGCACGAACCTGGTGTCAGCTTTCGAGGTTGTGTACTTTTTCAATCGTCGGAATGTCAGCAGCTGCTCCAGATACTTAAACTTTGGTGATTCCGTGCAACCACGGCCCATCATGGCCCATCCATCTGGTCGTTTGGACGGTCAGTAGTGTTGTGTTGCAAGACGTCTCCAGGTCCTCACGACGTGAAGCCCGTTAGTAGAACTGTCTGGGGTTTAGCAAAGCGATGTGGAGTCATGATGCCCAGTTGCTTTGTTCGTGTTCGGATCGCTGGCCGGTTTCTTCGCAACACATGACCCTGCAGCTGCATCATGTTAAGGTCTCCCCTCCTCTCGAACAGACGCTTCAGAATCAGAGATGTTATTGTGTCTTGCATTGAGGAACGAGCTTTGCCAAGATTCCGTCAGCGCAGGCTTACGCGGCTTGGGTTTTATTTGCGAACCTGTTCGCAACACAGCATACAAGGAGCACTGCATCAGTCACATTCGCTTACCTGCATTTGCGGGCAATAGCCATACAGAGCTGCCGCAAAGAGCACTGCACCTTGGCACAGCTTTTTGAGCAGACTCGACTTCGCTGGGTCTCGTGCTAAGCTTCCCACATTGACATGATCCCAGAGAAGCCTGAGGCCTCTCCAAAGCACGTTGGCTCAACGGTTTGTTGCGCTTCAGCTGGCCGCTGCTCCGATGAAGGTCATCCGTGGCTTCCTTCTAGCCTTGGCTTCTCAGAGCACTGGCACCCTGGCAGTTGAACCAGGCAACTCTGTCAGGTCCCCCTATGCAGATGTGCCGCTAACCAGTTGGCCCATGTTGACGACGCATGATGCCGCAACCGGATACATGCAAAATCCGCTAGATCCCAGAGTCACCTGGGGTCAGACACAGCCTGCGTCCAAACATGCTTTTACCCAGCAGCTGAATTGTGGAGCACGTGCCTTTGACATGCGGCTACATGTCACCGACGAGGGCAAAGTGGTGTTTCATCACGGTGATGTTGAGATAATGCAGGACGCCGAGACTGCCTTAGCGGAGATCGTGCAGTGGGCGCAGCAACATCCGGCTTTAGAAGATTTTGTGTTGATTTACAATTGGGACTGTACGGGAGTGAACTGTAGCACTAAAGTCGCAGAGCTTCTCGCGAAATATGGACTGGCGACACTGGCAAACTGCAGCCAGTTGAACCTCACTCTCAGTGCAGCAGCATCCATGGCGAGTTTGCCGCACGGTGGTCATGTCCTCGTTGTGAACGACTGTGTTCAGCAGCATTACAACGAAAGTCTGGCATGCTCCGGGTTTGACCACTCCTTCGACGCATCCGACATGGCTGATCTTGCAAGAGACTTGCCACACTGTCTGGAGCTTCATAAGGCGTCGGTAGACGAACTGCTCCTCTGCGGACATCAGCTGCAACAGCGACATGCGGCAACTGCTCCCACGTCTGCTGTTGGCTATTACCAGTGCTGGGTCGGTGCTTCGGGGCACGACTTCGCCGTCCAGCGCTTGTTGGGCTACCTGACGGGGGTGGCATCCAAGCCCCTGCCAGCCGACAGCTTCACAGAACTGCAGGCATTGTGGCAGGAAACGCCGCAGTCCGTGGCGAGCCATGGGCTGCAAGCACGGCACGTGAGAAAAAGGCTTGGCATCTTTTCTCCAACGTCCGTGTTGCTCATCTCAGGATTGGCGTGGCACATTTTAGCTCTCTCCTCAAGGACGGTGTCACACAAAACTGATCCTGCCAATCTTGGACGCCGTTCTTTTCTCTGCATGGAGTGGTGATAGTCTGGTGATGCAAAGGCAGCCCTGCATGCAGGACGAGGAGCAGAGCCAGCTAAATGCACTCATGGTGCAAAAGATTCGCAGCGGCGCCTTCGGGCACATCAGCTTGTTTGCGACTCGCCTCAACTCCAGAAGTTGTTTGCCCCTGAGAACCTAGAGCCAAGATAGCCAAGGAAGTGAATAACGTCTGTGACCATGGACTGGAGATGGTGGCGGCACTGCGCTTTCATCTTGAACGGTCGTTGACCACGGGTCCGATCTCTGCAATCGTCGTTTGAAAGCCTCGACCACCGACGGTTTCACTGGTGATTTGCAACGACAAGGCCTGCTGCCAGCCTAAGGAGGTTGATTCACGAACAGAGATGTTTGTCCTGGGATGCTGAAAACGTCTCGGTGGTGGCCCCGGTACACAGTCGGTTCGATTCAGCACTATGGTGCCGAGGGAGAGAGGGGGAGGGGCAAACGTTTCAAGGCCACAGTGAAGTGAAGAGATGTGGATGTGCCCGACTGCCCTTGTAGGTTTTTTGCACTGATTCGTGCCCAGCAGGGGGACTCCAAAGCATGGGATGCGGAGCCGACTCAGTCGCCGGCGATTTACGCGATTTCAATCACCAGTCGAATCAAGCACGGGTTTTAGGGTTTAGTATTGACGGTTTCGGGCATCGACATGTCGGTTTCTGGGGTTTAGGGTTTGGGGCTTCAGGGTTTAGGGTTTAGGGCTGTGCGGTTTAGGATTTAGAGTTTCTGGAGTTTACTTTTAGGGTTTAGGGCTTCCAGCATTTGCAGCTTTTAGGGCTTAGGGCGAAAGCTTGAGGGATTTCGGGTTTGGGGTTTCCAGAGGCAAGAGAGGCAGATTTTATGGTTTTGGGCTGCAGAGTTTTAGGGCCTTTCGGGTTTTGCGATTTTAGGGGGAGGGTTCCAGTGAGGCTTAGGGCTTTTCAACTTCGAAGGTTCGGGTTCTAGTTGTTCCGTGTGTTAACAGCCGGTCTTTGGGGTTCTTGTGTTTCATTCTGCGGCTTTGGGATTTGGGGTTTAGGATGATGTAGGGTTTTACGGCTTCAAGGTTTAGGCCTTGGGGGACACCCTAGTCGCTTAGTCCTGAGCCCGACTCGAATCTCATCCACACGTCTCGTGCGCGAATCCACGCGGCTTGTGGGCACTGGTGCTCGAATCACAGACGCTTTGAGTGTGCGAATCTCGGCTCCACGAATGGCGCACGTTGGTGGTGTGCGAGAATCGGCCTTTCGAGTGCAAGAATGGGCGTGCGAATTGGGGGCCCCTCTGTTCGAAAACGCTGTATGCGAATGTCCGCTGGGCTGGGTGCAGTCGGGGAGAGGTCCGTGCTGTTGACCGAAGTCTTGGGGCGAAGTCTCCACGGCCAGGTTAAGACTTGTGGAAAAGCCTGCTTACCAGTTATGTGCAACAGCGGATCCTGAAACCACTGTCCAAATTAGCGGAAAGGTGCGGAACCAACTCCAGTATCGAATCAGCAACCGTTGTTTCTCACAGCCGGCGACCAACAGAAGGTTGGCGGGGTCGCAGTTTCAAGCACGTTCTTTTTTTGGCTTCGGGAGGCAAGGGGGTGTGAGCAAGGCATTGAGAGCGGTGACTTGAGGCGGTGAGCCGGAGTCCTCAAAGGGCTGCTTTTGGCTGGGTCAGAGTGCACCCTCCACGGGATTTGATCCCGGGCCTGGCGGGCCTGGGCCCCCCCCCCTCCCCCCCCGCCGCTCGAACTTCCTTCCCTGTAAAAGAGACGGTGTCGTCTTGGCGAGATCGTGGGGGGCCCAAAAAGCGCAGGGAAGCTGTGCCCCGAGACGCTATCAGCAAGCGGGGCTAGCATCATAGGTTTTGGAGGTTCGGTTCAGAGTCTGGGCATGACAACCAAACTGAGCAAAAAGTAGTGTTTGTCAGCTTTTCCGAGCTGTTTCCCGATGCTCTGCTTTTCCGAAGTGTTTTCTGCGATCTCGTCTTTATAGTCACAAGCAGCACCCATACCTGATATTGTGATGCTGTGACGAGTTGTGGAGGCGACACCATGCCATTGAGACCGCGGTGAGAATCGTTGCGTCGAAGCTGTCTGTTGAGCTATCGCCACGGCCATGTGCTGAGGACCGGCAAAAGCCGTGTGTACAGCTGTTATCGCAGTTATCTCTCATTGAGGTTCCATTTGGGTTCCATGTGACGATTTTGGGTGCAGCACATGACTGCAGTTATTGCTACCTCGCCCTTGCCGGCCAGTGTGCAAAATCAAATGTAGCAGCACCAAAGTATGTTCGGTGGCAACTGGAGGCGACTCAATTTATGAGTTCAGCACATGCTGCTGTAGCGAACAAACTGCAGACGAGCGGATTTGCTTTGTAGCCGGCAACTTCTAAACAACGTGCAAAGATGGTCCTGCTCCAACTCTCCGAAATCACCACTGAAAGACATCAGAATGTAGTCCTCCAGCCGTCGGACTTGTCGCAGGCAAGAGCTCGTCTGAACCAGCATTAACAGCAAGATCTCAATCTTGTGTTCTGCGACGGGGCCAGGGCTGCCAAAGTTGAGCATTGATTGTGTCATTCGTTCTGTCCCCTCCATGATCTCCCTGTGTCGCAATGCATTTTAAGTGGAAGTCCGCCGTGCCTTGAAGCAACTGAAACTGCAGCCTGGTTGCAGCCAGAACTAGCAATGGCATGCACGACACCTTTTGCTAGATTCAGGGTCATGGCAAGGCTAAGAACAAGGCTGGAAAGCAAGCACTAACAGACTTGGTTTGTTCCTCCTTCCACGGATACAATCCAAAGCTGCCTTGGACAGTCTCTCCGAGAGTCTGTGCTGGGCTTAGATCATGACCGATTTGACTGCTTACTAGTGGGTTTGCTGCCTGGTGAGGCTGGGCGGGTTGCAAGGATCTTGCAGCACGAGCCGGTAAGCGGCTGTGGACGGTTCGTCTCGCTGAACCTGTAAGCGGCAGTGACATGGTGGCAAATGCCCAGGTCCTATGAGAGTGGACGGCACCTGGTTTCGAGCTCTGGCAGTCGCAGGTCCTCGTACTTCCCCAGCCAGTTTTTGCTCCATGCCGCAAGGTACAGGACGATCTGGCTGAAGGATCCTGACGTCGCCGGCAGCCCGATTGCGGAGTTCTTCAGGTTTGCAGTCTGTTCGGAGTAATCAGGTTCAAATCATCGATCAGAGGCCGGGTGGCCTGGCATGTTTTGCGTGAGGAAATCGTTGGGGCCAGCAGATGCATCCAGACGCGGGTAGGTTGGAGTTGGTTTGACGCAGTCTTGCGAACCAGCTATTACACATCTTGCAGCCGCATTCATCAAGTCTGACCACAGGCATCTGCCACACCAGTTCGTGATAGAGGTGCAGCTGCTGAAGAATTCTGTCGCGGAGTCAAATTGATCGCATGTGGTTCACATGCCAGGATGTCCGCTCTTTGGATGAGATGAGCATCGTCATCAAGGTTTGCTTGTTGACGTGATGTACTACGTTGGTTCAGTGAGTCGCAGCAGTATTCAGTGAAGGTTCTGCCCTGTAGGACATGCATGTACGAGGTGCTGGCCTCATAGGCCCCTGCCTTCAGAGGGCATGCTGCGGTTCCCCGTGCTTCGAGCTGTGCCAGGCTGTGCTGCCGCATATGGGATGTACCTGAGCCTTCGTGAGCTGAGCAAGACTAGCAGTGCTAAAGAGGTGCCTTGCCGCTTGCGATGGCCTTGCTGGGTCGCGTGCATACTTAGACTTGGAGTCTTGGGAGGTTCGGGAGCGCCTTGAGCATGCCTCACAACAGCTGCGGGCAACTCGCCCGACAGCAGTGAATCTCCGAGTCGGCCTCCACCTCAGGTCGTTCAACCGACCCTAAGGCAGACACGATTCTGAGTCAATGTCACCACTGGCACAGCATGCGTGTTGCGAAATTGACTCTTCAAAAGCTTGAAGGTGTTGAGAAGGTTGCGAAAGCCGTGGAAAGCGCTGGCTGCCTGGACGAATGTTGTGAGCATTGCAAACGTTGAAGCTGCATACAGACCGGCGCAGCGCAAGCACCAATGTCTTGCCATGCTAACAGGTCCTGGAACCGAATGGTGGCAGACTAGAGGCCAGCCACTGGCCATTTCGTTGACAAGTGTGCTTGGATAGTTATAGGAAGGGAGACTTTTTTCGGAAGTCGGCGTGCCAGACTGAATTCATCTAATACTGCTGGAACATGGTGCAAGAGCGTCCTTCAGGCTGCGCTGGGCGCTGCTCGCAAGGAAGCCGCCAGAATCACAGATGAGGCACGGTAGAGGATGGTGGAGGCAACTATGTGCCCAGAGCATTCCCGAGTTTCCGAGGATGCTGATTTCTGCCGCCGCATCGGTGAAGCGGGGGCAGATCTCCTGCAGCAGCTCTACGAGAGGTCCGCCTTGCCCTTCGATCAGCTTTGATGTCTTGGCGACTTGGCAAAGGAAGAAGGCATCGGCAAGTACTCCAGAAGACAAGCTGACGATCAATGCGAGGCACCTGGTTGTCTGGACTTGTCGCAAATGAAGCTGATGAGGGTCGTTCTAAGGTGTTAACGCACTGCAATGCTGGCTGGCTGGCCTTTGCTGACTGGGGCCGGCTTGCCTGAGTCAAAAGAAACGGAAAAAATCGTTGGTTTTCAAAGCGCTTGAGCAGGCTCTGCATTGTCTCCAGCGACGCCCCCGTTCTACCCCATGTTTTCAGCTAATCATGCAGCGCAGTGTTTGAGGTTTACGCGGCTTTCGACAAGGGTCTTCCGATCCATGTCTGGGTGGCTACCCCGAGTTGATCAGAGTGGTCAGGAAGTCAGGGAGACACCGCGCACGGTGCACAATAAGTTTATCTGGTCAGGTTGACGAGACCCGACCACGGAACCAGGGAGCCTCGCTAACTGCTTGGGAACTGGTGGTGTCCTCAATTCGGACTTGCAGAGAAGCTTGGCGAAGCTTCGTAAAATCCCCTCTGGCAGGCCAAGCATGGAGTGGCGCACACCGTCATCGCCGACAATGCTGGTGGTCATCTCATGAGGAGCTGTTAGATTCGGTTGAACTGATGGACTTCCTTTACGACCCGCTGCAGCCGCCAGGACCGGACTAGTGGACGTGGTCATCACCGGTGCAGATCGAGGCCAGCGCTGGTTCTTTGTCACTTCTCGCACTGTCTCCGTCGTCATTTCTGCGCTGCTCCAGTCTCGAGCTGCGGAGATGCCTGCAACAAAATCGGCACGTACTTAAAGGCCCTACCCTTCCCCAATGCCCTCCCAAACTCTAGCGACGCCATTATGTAAGGCCCTGGCGGCCAAAGACAACAACTTGCCGCGCATGGCTGAGCGACAGCATCCTCAGTCTCCGCATGGCTCGGCATGCATCGCTTGTGAGATTGGAGGTTCTACGTTGCTCTGCCGTCCAGTACGATCGACTGGCGTCTTAAAGACGGGGCAGTGTGCCCGGCAATGAGAAGCTTGTGAGCATCGGCGCATCGCCCACGCACGCAAAGGCAGACATCCCTATCGAACAGCGTGGTGACGAAGAAGTAAAGTACGCGGAGGTGCCCCTGCCCGCCATGTACATGTCCGTGGTTTGTTTCCGGATCGCAAGTCAGGCTAGGGCTAGGGTCGTAGGTCAGCCTCAAAGACAACCGTGCAGTGGGCTGCGGGAGGGTTGGCTGAGATGGGAGGGTGGCAATATGTCTTCGTCAATAATTTGTGACCACGAACGACTCCGAGCACACAAGCTGAAACGATAGAAGGGAATGGTTGTGATGAGTGATTCTGTGGCTCAGCTTGAACTTGGTGCTGTCTACCTGTGAGTGATGTGTCCAAGAGAACACGCTGAAAGCCTGGTGCGTGACAGGGCCTCTGTGAGGATGGTAAGCGTCGCAAGGCTCGGACTTATCAGAGTCACAAGCTGATTACAAGATGGAAGTATTGGCCATGAGGCCACGATGAAGCCCTCTGCCTGTCCGCTTGGCAGGTCCTCCTGACCCCGGCAAACAGCTCAGCTGGCAATTGGGCGTGGTGCTGCCATTCTTGATATGGGCAGATGACCTCGCCTGGCTACTCGAGCCCACGGGATCACCAGGATAGTGGGATTACGGACAAGCCTTGCCCCGAAAAAGACGTCGACAAGACGTTTCAAGTGAGATGCCGGAGTGCTGCAAGTAGCAAGTGCGGCGGCACTCATTGCGTGGCAGGTTTGATGTGACACCATCACGCCTGGTCACCGGACTGCTGACGGAGCCATGGTAAGACGACAGCCTCTTATAGGGCTCCGCGGGCATTGCAAATTGCAGGAGCGTGGTCTGTCGGAAGCGTCGGAGAAGGGCCTCGCCGCTCTTTTCTCCGAGGCACACATGGCCTTCAGAGGCAATTCTTCTGATGCTTTCTGTGTCATCCCCATCAGGCTGATCGGACCTGACGTGCCTCAGTCATGCTTGAAAAGAACACGACATCTTGCCTTGCAGATGACGGCTCCCGAGTCTTCATTCCAAGCTTAGAAGTTGCTGCCGCATTGGGGGTGACTTGTCGGAAAAGCTTCGTCACCTACCTCATGCCGGAAGTCCCACTGCAACGATTCCCGTTGTCTGGGAGGAGTCCTTCTTGGGCAGATTCACGGGAGGTCTGGTATTTTTGTTTTGCGTTCAAGATCCTCCTGGATGGCCTTACATCTGCCTTTGGAATGCAGGATGTCGTTTTTGCAACCTCGACCCTTGACGACATTTCGAGAAGGTTGAGCTTCTGTCCTGGACGAAGGCCTCGACTTTGAAAGGCCTCAAGCTAAAAAGCACCGGCCCCTGAACGCCAAACCTCTGAAACGCTAACCCGCCGCTGAAAAGTGCAAGCAGCATCCACAGCTTCGACTCTGGACCATGTCTTGGCTCGACAATTGTCACTTGCCAGACCTGGAGAACATAGATCACCTTGTCTGGGCCTAATAGCTGGAACTAGTCCGTCATTTTGATACGTTTTTGCCGTGCGACACTTGGAGCCATCACCTAGAGAGAAAGAAAGCTCACGACCGCGGTGACCTGTTCACCCTGGTATACCCAGTTTAGAATCCGGAATCTGGCAGGACGGCCCACACACAAAGAGCGTTCTGAAAACTCATCGTCGTATATCGGTACACTGGATAACTGGATTGTCGCGGACGTGTTCCTTCTTGTTATCGATACGAAGGCAAGTCCCACAGAATGAACATTGGGTGATGGTGATGAACGCGACGTGATAGTTGTTGATAGCACGCATGCCAGACACGGGAAAAGAGATCTGCAAGGGGTAACGGGTCCAGCTTGACAACCAATTACACAGCACGAACATGAGACGAAAGTTCGAGTTGTCCCTCCCCTCATCCAGCAGCTGGTGCGACGGCCCCGGGTGCGATGAGGTAGATGCGTTGCGCTGCTTGCACATCATCTCATTCCCCGTGTGTGGCATGCCTGGTAATTTGGTTCGTGTGCATCACCATCACCCATGTTCGGTATGTGGGACTTGGCTTCGTGTCGATAACAGGAAAACTATATCGCGACAATCCATTGTAACATTGTACCGCCGTCCACTGCCCCTCGGGGCTCATTTGCCCAAACCTAGTGAGGAAGAAACCACCAAACTCCAGCTCAGAACCGAGGCCCACGCACACAGACACACAGCTCGCGCATTATGCTCGCTACAAGTTCTGGCTCTTAGTTGACGTGGGCCACTGCGGTTCGTTCCCGGCCAGATGGGGTTCGCGCCCTGGAAGCGGTGTTTGATAGCCTCTCGGGGGTCTGATCGTCGTGCCAAGGAACAACAACGCGGCGGGGTGCACCTTTTGCACCGGCGCGGAAGGCAATGCTGTCGAGGTGCAGGCAGGGCTTGACTGGAAAGTTGCTGCCGACCCAGTAATCAGGAATTTTGTCGTAGAGAGCAACCGCGCAGGGCAAGTATCCCAGCGACGGCAAGCTGGAGAAGCGCGGCCCGCACCAGCTCTCCTCTCAGGTCTCGCATGTCTCTGTCACGCGACATTTCCATTGAGTGTAGTGTCTCAGTTGCCGGGATTTCCTACTGAGGTTTGAAAACGGGGCCACGTACACTGGCGAATGGATGGGTGCCTTGTCGCTGGAGCTGCCTCTAGTAAACCCTATTACTATTACTATTACGTGGTTAATCGGGCCACAAGGACAGTGTTGAGATCTTCGGGCTCTTCAAACAGCAAGGCTGCTTGGTTGCCTCGCGGCCCGAGGCAACTCACGCCACGGCCAAGGGGAGCAGGCCAGGCGAATGACAGCAGGGCTTATGCAGGGTTCTGGTGTTTGAAGCCCGTCCTCCTCAAGGAACCTAGCATGACAACAGCCGTCACGACCCGTAAACATCCAAGCCTGATGCGAGTTCATGCAATCGTGTAGCCAACGAGACATGCATCATGTGGTATAGTCTTGTTGTGCGGTGTCTTTTGAAGCGCTGCTTTGAGTGATTCTGCAGGTTTGGCCGGATGGTGCCAAGTATACCGGTAGCTGGGCCACAGCCTCAACGGACTAGGTTCGGAGCTTGATTTCGCAAGCGACCAGCCGTGTGTGGCCAGGAAGCTGACAAAGCCCATGGGAAGGGAAGGTTCGAACACGTGGATGGAGATGCCGCGAGCTCTGCTCTGTGTTTTTGAGTGCCGCAGCTTCCAAATGCTAGCATCGTGCCGCACCGAGATGATAGGTCTATGAAGGCGAATGGAAGTCCGACAAAGCCCACGGCTATGGCGTGTGCGCTTTCTTCTGATTCGTGAAAGGTTCAGGCAGGGTTGACGTATCATGACACATCGAGCTAGCTCCAATCGAGAAGCCGTAAGAGTTGTGCTGTTCGGTTTTGGAGTCTCAGGCATGTCAAGGCTTCTCTGTTGATGGTGCTTTTGCAAGAGTCGAGGTACCACCATGCCGATGGTTCCCGGTATGAGGGCAACTGGGCCCAGACCTAAGCTTTGAACTTTGGCACGGGGGCCGGGGCCGACAGGGCTGGGTGCTTACTACGGCTTGCATGAGAAAAGCCCAAGGCCGATGACAAGCAACATGGGCCCTGGCCTTAGCTCGCACCCCGCAGAGAGATTGAGCTTGAATTTTCTCGCAGGAATGGCCAGGAAATCTGGCCAGATGGTCAGACTCCCGGTCCAAATTAGCAAGTTGCCGGAAACTTGTCCATTTGTTGCGGCAGGTGCCAAATATGTCGGTGAGTACGAGGCCTGCATCAACTGTAGCATGCGAGCCCGAGAAACCTGCAGAAACTTGTAAACGTCAGGCCGGCAGGAAGAGCGGCAAGGGGCACTTCTCGTGGTCGGATGGCTCCAAGTACGAGGCCAGGGAGATTGAAAACACAGTGAAAACACGACCCCATGTCGGCGTGACGGAACTCCTCCGGGGCATCACATCAGCCAATCAGTGAAGTCTTGTGGGGGGGTGTCTGGGAAACACGAACTTACTGCATCGTGCAGCTTGCGCCCATGCAAGAACTGCGGCGAGAAGGTGGAGGCAACAGGAGCTGGGAAAGCAAGCGGTGGAGGCGGTGGAAGAGTGCCATACAATTCTGGACTCTCAGTTCTGGACTCACAAACTTGGAGCGGCTCTGACACATGCAGTTGGAGCCCGAGTGGAGCCGTGCTTTGGTGGTCCTACGGCTACTGGACCCATCATTCAAAAGAATAGTCAGAAATGTTTGCATAGTATTGTGAGCTCTCGTTGCCACAGGCTTCTTTGCTGAGCTAACGTGGCTTCCTTGCTGCAGCTGCGCAAAGTTGATGACAGGGAGAGTTTGTTGACAACGACATCAACGGTGTCGGCGTGTACCAGTGGGTGCTCCCTCCGAAATTTCACAAACTTCCACGTTTGGTTCAAGTGGTGTCATGCTGCCAGGGCGATGGTAGAAAGTTCGAGGGGCAGTGGGTGAAGAACAGAATGCACGGCTTGGTCCCAGTTGTGTTTGCTGAGTTTCAGCGTATGGGTAGTTGGGGATGGAGGGGCCTTGTCAAGGTCACGGGCACTTCACCTGGGTGGATGGCCGGTCTTATGAGGGAGAGTACAAGAACGATCAAAAGGATGGTGAGGGAACGCCCAGACCTCAGCTTGACTTTGCGTCTAAAGAAGAGTCTTGCGATGCCCATCGGCTTCTGTGCCTATCTCGCGCCTCAGGTTTAACTGGCCTGATGGACGGAAGTACAAGGGACAGTGGCGGGGGAACCAAGTTGTCTCGTCGCCGGGAATCTTGTGGGAATCTTGTGTTGTCAGAGCCTGGCGTTCCTGTCGAAGCCAGGAAGGAGGGCAAGCAGCATGGTGTTGGAATTTATGTCCTGACCTCAGCATGCAAGCGCTCTGCGTGGAGCGATGTGGAGCGGAACGTGGTGGATTGGAACCGAACTCGTTCATCTTTCTCTGCTCGCATGAGAAGATGGCAAGCAGTCAAGAAGCGTCCTTTGTGGAAGCATTACAGCTGTTCGCTGAGAAGATCAGTTTCCACCCTTGTGTACAAACCTCTCTCAGTGAAAGCTCTGAAAACTGACAACCCCTCCGTGTCCATGTGATCTCACGGATCGGCATGTGGCGTCTATAATTTAATGAGCCTTTCAAGCACATGTGAGCATAGCGGAATCTCGAGCACCAGAAGGCGAGTCAGAAACAGTTACGGACAGTTTCAGCTGGGTATATTTTGTTCATGCTTTGTCAAGTTGCACTGTGCCGGCTTTTATTGTTTAAATTATACTTGTTTCCTGAGGTTACGGCTTCCGGTGAAGAGCGCAAAGGCTGGCATGTTGGACGCAACTTGGGTCCAAGCATGGTGACGATGAACAGGTGAATGGACAGACGGTCGGCGTGTTCGATGGATAGACACTGACGCGATCGCCCCCTAAGCATCAACCTTAACCGTGCTTTTGGTGGAGCTGCACTGAGTGCATGCTCTATGCAAATGTGCGCATCATTTTCATGTGATGCAGAGTTGCTTCACAGCAACCCAGCCCCTGTTTTAACATGCTGGCCTGGGAGAGAGCTTTTCCTGTCCAAACGCTGCATCGCGGATGTTCTTGAACAGCTGAATAGGAATGGTGGTTGAAATATTTTGGAAGCTGTGGGCGTTCCCATCTGCAGAACGGATTTGTGGACAAACTCTGTTTCACCTTCCACACGGTGTCCGTGCTTGAAGTAAGAGCACCAATTAACAGCACTGTTGATCGACAGTGCTTGAGCTGTGAGACTTCCTCGCCTGATTGTAACACATGGCAGAAGCCTGACGAGTTTTTGTGGTGCGGCAGCTTATGGCAGTCCAGGATGCTGTTGATGCTCGATTTGGCATGCGGCCGTCTTAGCAACCGTATTTGGCAGCACAAACAGTCCAGCTCGAGTCGAATAAACAACGCTTCGCAGCCAACCTCAACATGAGAAGACCTACAGCGTACAGCTGTTAACAAGTGGCATACTGCAGCACTGGCCTGCAACATGACAGCCCGTCGGGCCCTCGAGTTGCTTGCGGCATGCCGGTCATCCTTGTGTCCGAAGGTTCAGCTTTCCGCACAATACGCTCGGCAGCACTCCGCACGGCGGGCGTGACAGGTGAGGAAGTAGAGCAACATGTCCTTGAACAGTGGGGCCGAAGCTGGAGGTGCCGCGACTCTCGGCTGGGCGCCTTCCCCAGTTCTGCTTGTTCGTAAATTGCCTGCAGGCAGGCTCAATGCAAACTGGAGGCATATCTGCAACGTCTTCCAAGACATCAGGAGGACCACCGCCTGTCATGGACCCACCCTCAAAAGCCTTAGAGGACATGACGACCACTTCCAAGTGCTTCGTTGTCGTTGTCTTGAGGGTTGCTGCTTGCACCTTGACAGTTACCAAGGCGGCAGTCCGTTTCCACGAGGCTCAGCCTTGCTTTAGCGGGTAGGTTTGTTGTGTGGCATGACCCATGCAGTTGCTACTGAAATCTGATGCTGCATGCAACAGCGCTCTGGCACTGAAGGCGCGGTGAGAGAGAGCCATGCTGAATCATGCTGACCCCTATGCCACTACAGCAAAAACGGCAGCATGAGAAGTTGGCCTTTCCAAAGCTACATGAGTGGAGCAAGTTTGAGGTTGAACAGCCTGCAATCCCAGCCATGCTGGACCAGAAGACAGTTGAAGGCGGGTTCAATCTCACATGAAGCATGCTTTCCGAGTGAAGCCACAGGAACGTAAGCAATTCCGGGAGATTATACGCCATCTGCTGCCAGCCTACTTTGTGATTGACTCCGGCACGTATCACAAAGACGGCTACTGGGTACATGCAGGCAACCCGAAAGATAATCGAGACACTTCGTGAGAAGGAACAGTTCGATGTGCCGCACTTACACATGGGCATAGGTTTAAGCTGCGACATCCTCTTGTCGCCGCGCCGATTCGTTTCGAGGAGACTTCGACGAAGATCACGCCCATGAACATGCCGGGGAATGTCTTTCTTGGATTGAAGCACAACCGTGATCCATGGCGCCTTGCCAAGATGCCGCTGAAGTAGGTAGATTGCGCATATGAGTCATATGAGGTGTTCATCTTAGGCGTTGTCGCTACAAAGCAAAACATGGAGCACAAACAGCGCAACTTAGAATAGCGGCAGTGCCTAAGCGCCAACTACCAACTTCATCGGCATCTTGGCAAGGGCGTCATGGATCACGGTTGTGGTTGTACAACCACCACATGGCAGATGGGAGATTGCCGAGGTCTTCCAGCCAGACCCCGCCCCATCGCGCGCAAACTTCCTTTAGAGGAACTCCTTGAGGAAGATGTGTACCATAAGAAAACGGTACATTGGTAGCAGCATGACGACTTTCGGGGAGTGCAGATGACAAGCCTCCATGATCAGGGCAGTGCCTTGCAAGATCTGTTGAAAAGGAAAGCGAAACGCCATGAAGAGTGCGTTAACACCCTTGAAGACCAGCTGGCTGCAGCTTGAGCTGAGTCCAACGAGTGGGCCAGGAAGCTGCATGAACTGCAGGGTGAAAGTTTGTGCTAAGCTGAGCCGAATTCCGTGTCATCCAATCGCGGAGCCCCGAAGCGCCAGAAGCGAGTGCTCAGATCTCACAACTCCACTCAGAGGGTAGGAGCTTACAGAGTTTTGCCTCCAGGTATGCGGGTATCGGAGGCGCTTCATGCTGTCTACGAATGGCAGACCGTGAAGTAATCTTTTGTCGCTGCTGCTTGCAGATGCGCAGCATACACATGCCGGTATGCGATTCGCTTGCAGATGCACAGCATGTACATGCCGGTCAGGGATGCAGTTCCAAGCCCTGGGACTCGCAGAAAAAAAACTGACTGTGGTACATGCCGACTTCAGCAAAAGCTCGCAAGTGTTTCAGAGGGGTTGATCATTTTCCACGAGGCTATACACGACTTTTGCCGGAAGCTCGAATGCACCAATAGCTGGTGCTCACAGCAACTGTCTCGCTGAAAGGTGGCTCCGATCGTCATGCCAGTAGCCCAGCAAACCCAGAGTTAGGCAGAATTGGTTTAGGCAATGGACTCCAGAGGCAAACAGATGCAGAAACAGCGCACACCTTGACGCTGCGAGCAGGGGAGCTCCTGCAGGCCCGGCGACAAGTCCAGTTTAGTCCGCCTGGGTTTCGGAGGCGGATCGCGGTGCCCTTTGTCTGGGGCTTCTTCCTGTTCTGAGCTTTGAGTGCTGGTGTTCCTTGAGGAAGAAATCAATGTCGAGTTAGACCTACCAGCATGCACGCGATCGTGAGCGTGCCTAGTCCCGATCAATCTGGAAGGTAACGAAACTATGGCGAATGCAGGCTAGCATGATCGGAATGAGGGATTGGTGCATGGCAACCAGTGCAAACATCTCCGTCCTAATCTGTGCCTTGTCTCAGAGTGCTGCGACCTTTGCACTGATCGTTGTTCCGCTAGGCGTGTCGGCTGCTGCTTGAACCGTCGCACTCCAAGCTGCCCCTTGCCCGAAACTCAGACGGTCTAAATTAATTCTGACAAAAAAGCGTAAACGAAGCGTAATTTTTCTATCTTATTCGTTCGTCCAACATTCGTTCGTTCATTCCATTCTCGCTTCAGCTGTACCAGAGCAACAACTGGTGAGAATGAAGATGCCAGTCCTCGGGGCTAGTATGCTGTTTCTCGACAGTACCTTTGTCGCCAAATATTGCAGCCACGGAGGATTGGCTGTTGCGTCCGCCAGCAGCGCAGTCAACCTCGTCCGGGCCAAATCTGCGGCAAGAGTTGTTCGATGGGCGACTCACTTTCGTCGTGGGCTCAGGCATAGCAGCGGCATAAAACTGTAGATGGTCCCCGGAAGAAACGTGACTTCCAGCTGCTGCTGCTGCTGCTGCTGCTGCTGCTGCTGCTGCTGCTGCTGCTGCTTGTGGTGCTACTCCTTCTCATGACGAGTATCGTGGTCATGATAATAATACTTGATACAGTGATGAACACAGGAACCGACACCGCAATTATCACACTATTGCTATTCTTGAATATGGTGCTACTACGATGACGAGGACGACTACGGAGCAGCAGTAGTAGTAGTAGTAGTAGTAGTAGTAGTAGTGGTAGTAGTAGTAGTAGTAGTAGTAGTAGTAGTAGCAGTAGCAGTAGTAAGTAGTAGTAATAGTAGTAGTAGTAGTAGTAGTAGTAGTAGTAGTAGTAGTAGTAGTAGGTAGTTAGTAGTAGTAGGTAGTTAGTAGTAGTAGGTAGTTAGTAGTAGTAGGTAGTTAGTAGTAGTAGTTGTAGTAGTAGTAGTAGTAGTAGTAGTAGTAGTAAGCGCCACGAGCGGTTCAAACGCGGACGGGCGTAGTTGAAGTGCATGTCGTTGTGCAGT